CTAAGGACTTTGAAATGGTATCTGTGGTATAAAAGGAAATGTTTATATATTTATTTGCTATGTCTGTGAAAAATGTTTCAATCATTGGAATTTCCTTAAGTGACCTCCTAGAGTTGAAAAAAAAGGGTTCCAATGTCAGAAATTTCAACTGACTACAATAGCTCGCATATATAAATTCATGTATGCAAGAATCGATGATTCGATGTGCATTTGTATCGCACTAGTAGCAAATACGAATTTGAGCCTGTCCGATTGCCTGTGCACGGGTTGTTTAATCATATCTCATTTCGGAATCATCAGAAACATGAGGGATCATGCCGCTTGAAGTGGTCGATTTCCATATGCAGATCGACGTATAGATGTGATGTGGAAGCACATTGAGAATTCAATATTGGAAATTAACGGAGACTTTGTAATGATATCAATTCGGTCGGCCTGCTATAACACCAACATAACCGCGCAGCCAGTGTGGTAGATGAACAAGAAATCAAAATGTATCCTCCTGATTTTGTCGATTCCTATTGATTTTACAACCAGAGTACATCGATTCAAATGAGAAGATGCGATGATTCTGCACAAAAAAGGTCCCATGACATTTCTTTTTCAGAGCAATATTTTCCATGCAATGCTGACGTTGATACCTAACCTAACCTAACCTGCACGGGAGTTCTTCTGCCAGAACTATCTCAATCAAATTTTAATATTATAATGCCTCTAGGTTCCACTAATATAATGCTTGTAGTGATTTTCTGACTCTTATAAAAGTGTTGGGTGACTTTATCTCTTCCTTTTTCAATTCATCCTATCGGCCTTCCTTGCCTTACTTCTCTTTTCCCGTTTCCCACCAAGCCCAACCTCACCGTTAAGTGGTGTGGGGAAGACAGACCGCGGCCGCTTGACAGATGAAGCATTTTGGGGCCATCTTTGTTGTCTTGTGCAAGATGGGACAATATTTTGTGGGCATCATCTGTGGCAGAGTTGGTGCGATTTGCTGCTGTCTGTCGAGGTGGCCGAGGACTGGAAACCTAATGTGTCGTTAACGGGCCTTTGGGAAACAGGGCATCTCTGAGTAAACATCCTTAGCCCTGTGCATGGGGCACCACAGGGCTGAACCAACCCTCTTCCTCGATACTCGTAGGAGAAGGAAAACTTTTGGCTGTCTTCGTAGACGAGAACAAGGATCGGAAGAGTAATCTTCCAGAACCTGAACAAAAAGGGCCATTCATATTGAAGTGGCCCTTAACAAGCACCATGAGTCGTGAGAACAATGTGCCACTAGGCCTTAGTGTCGTACCTGGCCCCGTGAATAACCAAACTACATTTATTCAAAAATTCACAGACTTCGAAAGAACACCACAGAAATAAGCGACATGCTTCTTGGAATAGAAGAATTTCAAGATCAATTTTGTCAAAAATCATTTGGGAAACATGTGCGCCTTTCACATTGGACTGAACGAATACTGTGAATCGGATTGCTATTTTTTTCCTAGCCAAATACGTGATGTTTCCATGCTTGCACATCATAATATGCGAGACTTATGGGAGTATACACTGGCAGTCATCATTATTAATTTTCATGAACATACGATACCCCAGCGGGAAACAAATCTGTTCCGAAACTGTCACACTATTCCATGTCCCTGCATGTTCACGAATTCGTACATCAGTGCGCTATTTCACAGAACCACGGACCCGCAAATCTGGTAAACGCATGAAAAAACAGAAATTAAATATCCGCTCCAATTATCATCGTTCTACGGGTGTCCAAACCTTTATTAACATTCACTGCCACGTTTAACGGACGGCTAGTGGCAAAATAATGGTATTTGCCAAAAGTCCGCGTTACCTTTTTAGGTAGACAATTATTTTCCCTTATTAGAATAACCTGCTATTCGCAGAAATTCATTCCGGAAATAGTCGAGAGAGGGTGAATAGATCATTTGTATGTTAATTGGAATTTTCCAGTTTGGACCCTTTCGATATAAGGCGCTAGGTTGGTGACGTTAAATTGTCTTTACGTTTGTTGAACTGTTGAACTCTCCAAACTACCACGATCTCCATAAAAGGTCAGGCTTCCAACACAATCAGTCCAACAGATCTCAAAAGCTGCTGTTTATTCAGATTGTGGACTCAACACTTGAATGATGAATGGTGAATATTGTTCATCTGATAGCTCTCAATCCATCCCAACAGACAAACCTTCCTATATACAGGGTGTATCTAAATAATAATAATGTTAATAATACGAATAATAATAATCTACTTTATTTAGTATTTCAATATTAAATAGTAGGCGAAGTTTAGCTATAGCTACTCTTACACTTAACCTTATATTTATTATGGGCATTAGAGTAACTGGACAAAAATAAAGATTGTGTGATGGGACAAATTACTAGTAGTATACAACAAGCTACATAGTTTGAAATGAAAATGTCATTCTTTTTATCACATATTGAATATTGCCTTTAGTTTCTTCTTGAATGTGGATTTAGAGAATTGCATGAGATCTTCAATAATCGTGTTGTGGAAAAATACAGCTAAGTAGAAAAATGATCCTGGCGAGAGATGTGAAGGTTTTCGTTTGTTCGAAGGTTGAAAGAATGGAGCTCCACTTACCTCTTTGTCAATTCATTGAATAGAGGAACAGGTTTTTTCGATTTCAATACTGAATAAGTGATGTTGCAGTAGTTATATTTCCAGAGAACGGACATTGATACCCAACCAAGGTTGGTACGAGCTTAAGAAATGTGTTCAAATTTACGTATCCCTAAGATAAAGCGAACACATGAATCTTGCACACGTTGTATTTCAAATTGATTAGCCGAATCCAAGAAGGGACCATAGACAGGGTCGCCATAATTGATGGTTGAAAGAATAAGCGATTGGGAAAGAAGCTTTTTTGAACCAGGGGACAAGCTTTGTCTATGTGGTTAGAGAACTTTGAGAGTGGCATAGGATTTAATCACAAGTTGTTTTACATGTGCAATAAATTTCAAATCTTCATCGAAAGTGACGCCTAAGTTTTTTACAGAGTCAATATACGTCCATGGAGTCAACCGATTTAAATATTTGTTCGCCTATCTTTAGTTTCATATGATCTTCAACATATTGTCTTTGGTTTATGTTGCCGAAGTTTATAACATGGCATTTGCCAGAATTCAACTTCAAATTGTGTTTGTTCGACAGAGTATTCATAACTTCAAGGTCATAATTTATTCGATTTCGGGATACTAAGATATTAGATGCGATACTATGATATAACTGCGTGTCATCCGCAAATGCTTTTGTACCCGGCAATATTTAATTTGAGAAAAAATATCTGCAGTGTATAACAAAAATAGGAGAGGACCAAGAATTGAGCCTTGAGGTACTCCTGATATAACACTTTTAAGAGATGAAGATGAAGATAACACCGAAAAAATTGATGGGGTGATTCCACGTGATATTCTAGCTAATATAATTCATATAAACATGTGTCGTTACTTGCTCCGTTTTTGAAATACAGAATGTTGAAGTTGAGGGAATCAATTGTTTTTATTTATAACCTCCCTGTATAAGCTTTTATGGTGCTAAAATCCAGTATAGTTGAAGACTGAGAAATGATTGTAATCGGGGTTATTGAGTAATCTCAATGGAAGTCTTGAAAACACGCCTACATCAAAATCTGGAGTCAAATCGAATTTTTATTGTTTCCTCAAAAATAAAGCTAGATACAAAGATCACACAATGGATAAAAAAGTTGTTATTTCAATAGTTCAATCTAATAAAAATATGAAACTGACTGTGACGCCACTGGAAATATTATTTCGAATCTGATTGCACCAGGAGAAGCTCCAGTGATATTAGTGTAAACAAAACAACAAGGTTTTATTGAAATTGATGAAGATACAATTGAGAAATGAATAGAAAAAAGAATTTCCATGGAAATATTAATATCCTGTATCTCGAAAACGAAGCAAGTTAGGACACATGTTTATATGAATTTTATTTCCTAAAATATCACAAAGAATCACCCCTTGAATTTTTGCGGTGTTGTTTAGATACACCCTGTAGATGAAAGTAATAGTAGTAGTGTTGACAGTAGTTGACTCTAGTTGAGAAGTTATACTTAGACACTAATAAACAACTTTCAATTATATATCTTCTAATCTTATCATTAGCTATTAGGAATAAAAACCAAACCGTGGCCTGGAGGACTGAAATCCTTTACACCTTATTGTTAACATACATGAAGGTTAGATATGACGTTTATGAATTGGGATAAAGGCTAGAGTCTCACAAATATGATTTCCACAAAATTCTTTGTCATACGACATGTTTCGCTAAAACAGTAGCTTCATCAGGGAAAACTAACCTTGCATTACCTAACTTTTATATATCCTACTTTTCCAACCTGAAGGATTAGTATTGAGTATTATAAGTATCAAAATACACGTATTTTAACGAAGATATTGTGCTTCTTTTCCGAAAATGAAGGTTTATCGAACCTTTTCACAGGTAATTCTAATCCTTCAGGTTGGGAAAGTAGGATTATATAAAAGTTAAGTATAAGCCAAGGTTAGTTTAGTTCATTGTAACTGTATTTCACCTGATGAATGATGAAGCTCCTGTGTTAGTGAAACATACCGCGTGATTAAGAATTTTGTGGAAATCTTATCGTTTGTGAAGTTTTTACATATTCACAAATATCACAAAATACAACATGCAACAAATTGGCGCTCTAACGTGTGCCATTAGGACTTTCTGGAAATTTTCGTGAGTGGAAGTGCTTCAAATGAAATAGACACTGTCCGATTCAGTTCTGTTTCATAATCGTGTGTGAACTTTTTGCTGCTCGACTCATTCAGTTTTCGTGCATTTTGTTTGGACACTGACTGTCACAGTTCCAATCTTTTCGGCGTTTCACAGTCTGCTGCATGAACTTGAGATCAGGTAAATTATTGGGAAATCTAACTGTTACAATGCCTGGAGATAATGAAGTACCTGTTCAACAAATCATTATGTCTCCGGAATTGCTTCAAATCCTCATACAGGGTATGCAAAATTTACAAACTCAAGCTGTCCGAAATCAAACTGTGAGTACACCTTTGGCCAATTTGTCTGCATGCAAAGCTCGATTTGATGGAAGTACAAATGCAAATGTGGAAGTTTTCATTGACTCTATCACAACCTACAAGGACTGTCTCAATATTTTTTATGAACATGCAGTCAAAGGTTTGAGCATGCTACTGTTTGACGATGCCGCTACATGGTGGCAAGGAATCAAATCGTCCATAACTACTTTTGAGGAAGCCATCGAATCGTTACGTCACGCATATGGTTTCGCAAAAGCTCCTCATCAGATTTATAAGGAGCTCTTTTCCAGTGATCAAGGTGATGAAAAAACCGACATTTTCGTCAGTCGGAAACGCGCGCTGCTGTCACGTTTAACCGGAGATTCACAGATAACCGAACATGTTCAGTTAGATATGGTGTATGGACTTCTAAATCCGCACATCAAAGATAAAGTAGCACGAGATAAAGTGAAAACTTTCAAAGAACTCATTGAAGCTGCTCGTACGGCCGAACAATTATTTTATGAGAAAGATGTTTCGCAAAAATCGAACTCTCAAGTTTCTTCTCATTCGTCTAATTTTTCCTCGAACCGAAGTAACCATTCGTTTGCGATATTCATCAGAATCCTAGTGGAACAATTCCTCAGAACCCGTTGCACCACCACCAGCTCGCAACACAGTTACATATAATCATATACTCATAAAATTTGAGTATGTATAAAAAACAGGAACAAATAGTAGAAATGAACAACAAAAATACAAAAATCAAACGTAAGAAACAAAATGTTTCAACAGAGGTATATAATATTTTGAATTTGATCTGAATCTGAATAAAGAATTGTCCTCTTTTAGTTTATACATATCATGAGTACCTATATGTAAATGTATTGCTTATCTTGTAAAATCAATTCAAACAGAGCATGCCGAAATATCATGCAATTCATATGTGTATGTGATCAACTGAAGATTAATGATTATGTAGGTAATTAAAATAATGAATAAGTGTCAGAATATTTTTCAGTAAGTCACGGAATGTTACAGTAGATCAGTGTAGATCAATATGCAAATCAGATCTACTGGAAATTCAGTAAAACTGGCAATCCTGCAGCGGACGAAAAGTGTTTGCGGTCAAAAAGATAGTACGAAAAGTACTTGCAATCGGAATTAGTCGGTTTTTCGTTCAGAAATTAGAACGCAAAATTTGATATTTTGTAGAGGTCGACGAAAATAGCTATTTGTGTATTTAGAGCGCAAAGTGATAGATTGCCGCTCGACAAAGAAAGTTACCGCGCGATGCGGAGCGGAGCGCAGTAATCTTCGGAGAGCGGCAATAACACTTTGTGCTCGAAATACACACAAGATTTTTTCTGCTAACGCAGCTTTTGGAAATAACTACCCTGAAAGTATGAGCTATTGAAATAGTTGAGAAAGTTCTAATCCATATTATTATCCCATATGTCCAAAGGTAACAAAAAAAGAGAAATTGAAATAACTGACAAGCCAGAAAAAAAATGTCGGGCCTAACGAGAATTGAAACTGGACCACCAGCGTGGCAACCTGAGCTTCAGACCTCTGAGCCACAGTACGATAGATCTGCAGTCAAATTGAACATTACTCATTGATACAATAAAATAAAGATACACTGTCTTTCTGATGACAACAAAGAGTTTAAATATAAAATATAATTCATCGTTTTCATCAACAGATATGCTTCATCGGGAGCTTCTTGTAGAAATTTGTTGGTACATATCTTCAGCAGTGAATGTTTTGGATTTTTCTCGCTTTATATCCAATAGATTGTTTCTTGAGAAATGCGAAAACTATCAGATACTTATTGATTCCGATATTATCTTCAACATTCGAGCATGTATACGTACCATCGAATATATAGACCAATGAGTTGATGACTTCAAAGTCTTTGATTTTTTACCAAAATAAGCCAGTTAAACGTTTTCTGAATACATATTCACCATCTCGGAGTGGCACCAATTTATGAATGTATCATATTGTAATTCATATTTCTTCCTCGATTTCTCCGGTAAGAGATGATTCACTGTCAATATTTTCCATCATGAAAGAATTGGGGGTTTTCAAGAATAGATAAGTATAGGTTACAGAGATGTGCGAGCGTTTTTTCAATATTTCCGCTCACGAGCGCAAATGCTGTCAAAGAATGACATTTCTGGGAAAACGTCAACTTTGTGCTGGAATTTTGAAGCGTCAAAGGCTACTTTGTTAAGCGGTTGTAGAAAAACGTTATTTTTCGTATGATAACGTCTACGTGGAGGTCAACGTATACTGACAACTTCAACTCTCTCATCCTACTATATCCGGATGTAGAATACGGCACTGAAGCAAACACAAATGAATTTTCGACATGGAGCTAATATTGACACCCGGGGTGCATCGTCTAGGGATTGCAGTGTATCCAGTTTATTCAGGTGCCGACGAATGTGACCACAGAGGCCCTATTGAAATTATGTAAAGGACCGAAAGGGTATTTGCATTAGCACTGGAACACTGGTGCCCCGACAACGTTCATATAATATATTATATGTATATGTATTATATTATGTTGTATTTTCGATAATTATTGCATTACGGTGGAAATGCAAACATTTCGTGAGCTCTGTTTGATACGATAAAGGACATCTGTATCATTTTATTCATGAAGCGTTTCAGTTTTATAATCTGAAAGATTAATAGGCCCAGTACTAATGATTAGAATTGGAAAAATAGTACATAGTTAGGAAAACACGTTGAGGCATATAATTTGCAGCTCGTGTACCGAATGCCATTTCCTCGACATTTCGTTGTATATTTGGAAACCACCAATTTCCGGGACCGTTTTTTCAGTATCAGAATGTTTTCATGAACTTTCCTCTTGTCCTCATCGAGGTTGATATTCAAACATAAAACAAGAGTACGAGAATCATCCTGTAACACGCATCCCAGATCGTTCTCCAACCTCCCAATGATTCCCACATATACCAGCATATTTCCGAACACTCAATACATGCCACGGTGACAAATAACGTGACAGAAGATTCTGGAATGTTCTGGAAACAATCGATGGAACAATTAGAGAGAGAGGTATTGTTCTAAGAAGCATCTAAAACAACAAGAAGGAAACGGAACATCATTCGAGAACGTTCTCGTACCAAAGCCTACCAATGGATCTCATATATAAGACGTCCGAACAACTGCGTCAGTCAGTCGAGCAGCGAGTGTCAGAGAGATAGTTATATACCGCGTGATATAAATCGTTTTACATAAATAGTAGTTATATGTTCGATATAAATTAGTGTTCGCTTCTGCACCCGAATACGAATACTAAATCTATCAAAATCGCATTTCTGATGAGTAATTCTTTTGTGCCATAGAACTCGATTTCAGAAAGACAATGAAGGATTTATACGCCAGTTCTCTGCAATATTGGAGTTCATAGCCTACAATCTTATTATACATCACTATCCAATAATTATTTTATTGAAGACGAATCCATGACATAACTAATGAATTGTACGAGATAATTATAGAAAAATTATACACAGTTGAACAGAAAAATGTCACAGCTTTCCAAATAAGTAATCATCACAGGGTGTTCCTGTATGCTGAAACTGAGATTCGGTTCATCGGCAGAATACTCAATAGTCTTATCATAGATGAAACATACTCTTCATCTATGGTCTTATGCAGCTATCACCCGAATTGCAATATTTGCATTGTGAAAAGATCGTTATCCTTCAAGGGTCAGGTTTTTCACAATAATTAGGCAAAATATGTTTTATCGTAAAAACAGATATGTATAAGGAATTATCAGAAGAAGTTATGTGAAATCCTATAAGGATTTCAAACATAATATGATATACAGGGTATTTCATTTGAAATAACAAAGTAGGTAATACTTTCTTATATTACACTGTATCGATGCAGATATTCTAGACGCCCATATATTTCATGGAATGTTCTGTTGTTCTGTTCTACACTGCTCAAAATTGCCTGGATATTTGCTTGTGCAATTTCCTTGTATTTCTCTAAAGATATCTGTTTATTCTGTTTCAAATCTGTGGATTAATTTTTATAGGTAATATTTCTGGAATTTGCTAACTCTGACTTGTGTATCTGAATCTTCTTGCTTCAACTCATTTTCCAACTCTCTATTTTTTTCTTCTATTTGTTTCCTGAATTCCTCAATCTCTTCCACTCGAAATGAATTTCATTATCTGCAAGTTTTTCCTTTCTTGTTGGTTCTAAATTGGAATAAGGTTCTTTTCGATACTCGCTCGAGTTATAAATTGTGGGTTCTGCTCTTTCTTTTAATACGATCCTATATTCTTCAACATCAAATCTTTCTTTCTGAAGAGCACCTGATAAAAATGCGTTGAAAAATGTTCTATATTCTTCCAAGAAATTTGAATACCTCGCAAATTTTGTGGCCTGAACCTATATTCCATACCGACCGCATCATATTATGATTCCATTTCTGTAGAATTACGATATCTGATGGAAATTCGAATCGAGTGAATTAATTTTCCGTGTTCTCACAATTGGAAACTGCACAAACTTGCATCTTTCTCATAATTCTCGCAATTTGTCGAACCTTTGAAATTTATGTCATGTACGTCCGTGTACTGCCAGTACCCGCTTTTTCCATCAATTTATTTGTGGTTATGTCTGATTGTCAGTGATGGTCATATAGTGTCCGTACTCTAATGTACAAAAAACGTCAAAAATGCAGAGTCAAGTACATTTAGGAACTCTAGTTCATGTGTAGTTCAAAATTTCGAGATAAAAAAAACGTAATTTGAAGGTGAAAGTCAAAATTTCGCCAAAAAAGTCAAACCAATCTTAGACGCCCGGTATTGTTTTTTTTAAGTTCCTTCTCCTTTCGGCGTATCGTTAGGCCGTGACGTTGAATTCCGGAATATACGTTGTTTATAGGGCGGCAAAGAGCAATGCCATCTCCGCTCAGCGATTGTATGATTTACCGCCAGATATGGATAGACGCCGGGCGTCGAGACGCCGGATATACCGGGCCGCAGATTTATGGCGCCCAAACACTAAAATAAACCCCGTTTTAATTAACGACGGCATTAAAATTAAATAAAAACCCTCTACTTGGCCGTGCTTATCTGTGTTGCGTTGTTTTGCCCTTGTTGTGTTTGTTGGTCGTTTCCTGAAATTCAACACGAGTTTGCAGATTTTTAACATCGATTTCGGACTGTACTACGCTTGCTTCGCAAATATTATTTTGCGTTGTTCTCTCATTTCCATGTTTTTTATAGTCAGGTGAATTAATTTTTGAGGTGTTTGGCT